ACAATGTACAAGAACTGATCCAGATTTCAATCCATTTTTTATATGATAAAAAGAGTCATCAAAAAACTATGCTATATTTGCTTATTCTGAATCAAGAATTGAATATGTCTATAATTTTATATATAGTTTACTTTATGATTCATATTCTAATCATTATATTTGATATTAAGTTAACATGCAACAGTTAACACAGTTCTTATTCCCTTCTTATCTAAAGTTGGTTTGTCTTAAGCAGCTGTATAATCACCCAACCATAGTTAATTACCATTTTCTTCATGAATAATATTCATGGCTTAATAAGAATTACCCAAACTTCTATACATTTTAAAATTAATTCAATAATAATAATCCATTTTAAATGTGTTATTTATAATCAATTAAAAAAATTTCTATAAGAATAATGAATTCATATTTAAATATTCTCTAACAATTTAATAAATTCTTCTTCTTCTATAACTCCATCTTTATTGAAATCACATTTTTATAATATATCATCCCATGCTTAATTATCTATTTCTATTCCACCAAAAATATTTTCTAATTCAGATTTGCTTATCACTCCATTACCATCCATATCAAACATCTTAAATGCTAATTTAATATTATTAATTGTAATTTTTTATTATTAAACTAATGCAGCAGAAATAAATTCAGTAAAATCCACTTTTCCAGATTCATTAACATCCAATTCTTAAATTAAACCATTTGCCATAATCTCAGCTTTTAAATGATCTATATCTGCACTTAACATACCCTTCATCAATTCATCTTTAGTTAAAACTCCATCTCCATTTTAATCTAATGTTTTAAATGTTTAAAATAATTTTGTACTCTCTTCTTTATTAACTAATTACACAGAAATAAATTAAATTATTGCAGCTCTCAATTTATTCTAAGCTGTAAATTAACTTAAATTCTTAATTAAATTAATATCTTCAATCTCATTCTATTAAATATTCTAAATCCAAGGATGATTAAAAGCTTCTTACATACTTATTCTATTCTTAGGATCAACAACAATCATTTTCATAATCAAATCTCTAGCTTATTAATTTGTTCTCAACCATCTCTCACTATTAGTATTTAATTTTCCTTATCTTGCTAATCTTAAAGTCTCTATATCACTAGATCCCTTAAAAGGAGGTCTTCCAATTAATAAAATGTATAAAATAACTCCACAAGACCATATATCTACTTTTTCATCATAACCTTAATCTGATAATACTTCAGGAGCAACATAATAAGGTGTTCCAATCTTTTTAGTTAAGTTAGATGAATCAATCATCTTTTCACTTGCACCAAAATCAATCACCTTTAAATTTGCATCTGGATCTCTTGAATCAAATAATATGTTTTCAGGCTAAATAGTTTTAATTTAAGTACTTTTAAATCTCTATGAACAATATTTTTCTAATGACAATATTAAATAGCTGAAAATACTTATCTCATATATTTTGCTGCTAAATTCTCATTATAATTTGTTATAGTTTTTATTCTCTCTAATAATTCCCCTCCTTAACAATATTCAGTTACTATATAATAATATTTAAAATCTGCAAATATTTCCAAAACCTTCACTATATTTGGATGATCCAAAGTCTTCAAAATCTCTGTCTCTTCCAATAATTTCTCCTCACAATTTATTGTTTTCCTTAGAACTACCTTTGCAGCTCTCAAATGTTCTGTAGACAAATGTTTAACTAAATATACTTCTCCAAATCCTCCTTACCCTATTTTCTTTACTATTTCGTAATGAGCTAAAAACTTTTCTGTTATACATTGTTTTCTCACCAACATCTCAGGAGTCAATTTCATAGTTCCACTAATAGTTTTCTTAACAAAATCTACTGTATCTCCTTCCTTGTGTTTAGTTTAAACTTACTATTATTCTAAATCCTTTGAATATCCTTATTCTTTTGATAATGAATGTGATTTAATAAAGCTAGTTTCTTTGTCATGAATTATTATTTTAGAATTAGCATTAAGCTATTAATTCTCAAATTCTAGTCCTTCTTAAACTTCGTCAATCTCATTTTATGGATTCATTATAGCTTATTTTAAGTTTACTATTTTACCTTTGTCATCATTATACAATTTACAAGCGCAACAACCCATTCTATGATTAAGACAATTAATAAATATATGATATATTTAATATAGAGAATTCTTATTCCTAAGTCTATCAATAAATTGTTAGATGATATGATCATCGACATATTCTCCTTAAAATTAATTTATCAAAAGCAATTTTTTTTCATCACCAACAATATCATTTTAGAATATTGAATTGTCAAACTTATCCAAATCAATACATTGTTGTTGTTAAATAGTTTGACCATTATAACAATAAAATATAATAATATTTTATTCTAAAACAATAATCTTTTGGTCAAATCAATCATTCATTAAATTACACCAATTTTTATTTGTAAATAAATAATTATGTGAATTGATTACAGTAATATATATACATATAATATTTAATCTAATTTTAATTAATTTCTATTTCCTTTTTTCAGCCATCTCATTTTTCTTTATTTATTTACTAAACCTAAATTTATCAATTAAATTTCAAATTACAACATCTAAATTTTAAGATGAAAGAATAAATTACTCATAATAGATTTTTATCTACATTTTTGTTGTACTACTTTCTAAAAAACAGACATTAAAGTAAACCTTTAAACCTGTATTTTTAAACAAAAATAATAGTTTTATTATTATATCTTGCTAAAAATATATAAAAAATCATTTTTTTTGTTTTTTATTATGATCTTTATTTTATATTAAACTTCTATTCTAATCAAATATTTACTATTTTAGATCAAATATAAATTACCATTTATTCAAATATTAATTAATTTAAGTAATCTTTAGCATTTACTTAAATTGAAATAAATATGATCATATTAAATTGTAAATGTATTAAATTAAAATTTTAACCATTAAATTGGAGTGAAACCCAAAATTTTAAGTAAAAATAAAATTAAAAATGGTTTTGATTAAAATAAATTTGTAAATAAAATGCTATATTTCAATCATTTCTAAACAATTTTTCATTAATAAATGCTCTTTTAAGTGCCTTTTCTCTTTTTATTTCTTAATCAGTCTAAGTTATTGCCTTGATTTACTAAAGTTTAATAAAAATACAATACTTTTTCTTGCATGTCATCATCATACAATTAAGTTATCGGTGGTAAAAGTTCATGTTAAGATTTACGTTTAACAGAAAGAAATCTCTCTATCTTTTCATGTTAATCACCTTAAATATTATGTGCACTTCTAATGAAATTAACTGGTAAATCCTTTGAAATATATCTAATAGCATACAGCACCATAATTCTTCTTAATATAAAATTAAGTAATGTTTTTAGAATCTTTGATTATTTTTCTGATTTAATAATAGTTCTTTGATTTTCCATTAAATGCAGCACCCATAGGACTTTTTTCACTCTCCTCTGAAAACACAGGCTTAGATATAATATGTTATTTACTTTACCAGGAGAACCAACAAATTAGAGACTCTTTCGAGATTCCAATTTTCTAATGGTTTCAGATTCATGAAATTGATCTAAATCATTAATTTTGGATTCTGGTTAACTGATGGCTTTAGTTTAAGCAATTATAGTATTTTATAATTAAGACTAAACTTTCTATCTCTTAGCTTCTCCTTCATATAATCCTTTCTTCATTGCTTGATTTGAGGCTAAACTCTAAATTCTTGTTATTTCATTATTATGAAGATTGATTTGTTTAAGTAAAACATCATAATCTTTTTTCATTTGTATGATTAATTTATATTCAGTTTCTTATAATTTACCCTCTAATTATTCTCTTTCCTTTTCTTACTTAAATAATAAATCACTATGTTATTTTTCAATTCGATATTTTTATACTTTATACACTCTATCTTATTCATGTTTCTCTAAATCTTTTAATTCTTTTCTAAAATCTAATGCTTCTTCTACTCTCTCCTCCAAACTAACCAACTTTTCTTGAGTTTATAGATCCTTTAACTTTTTTTTTGGTTTAACTTTCATTAATTCAGTATCTTTAGAGAGTCGATCTTCCATTATACCTAATTCTTTTTCTTATGATATTTTTAATTATGCTCTTTATTAATATAATTAGAGTACCTTCTTTCTATTTTATACTTTGTTAGTTATTAAAATTCTTAATAGTATTTATCATAAAAATCATCTAATTTTTCTTATCCTATTTCCTTATATACTTTTCTCTCTTTTATTGATATACGTTATCTTAATTAATTTTAATAAGCTGCTATATTTGCCTCTAAAGTTCTTAATTCTTTCATTAATTGCTTGAATAATATATATTCTTATATTTTCAATAAAGCAGTTGCTACTTAATGCATTTTTTCTTTAATTACTGAAAAAACTAGAATCTACTCATCTTCATTCAACATTCTAAGAAAATTCAATCAATTTTTACCCATCATTATCTTAATCAAAGAGATCAAAGAAATCATTTTCATTTTACAGTTTCAGTAATTGTACTATCTCACTTCTACAAGCTTCAAAGATTCTTTACACAATAGTAAAGTTTAATTAAGCATCTGTCACAAAATCATTTTTTCTCATTTCTATCCATATTTTTGAGCATTTTTGAGGTGCAGTAATATACATTTCACCTATTAAATGAATATATATAATACCTTCATTTTTAATTTAATTAATAATATGTCTAGGTAGATTTGATAATGCAGAATAATTAGACTGTTATATTTTAGTGCTGATTGTCATTGATTTTGATTCCATTTAATATCACTATTCAATTATATTTATAAAAATTATTATTTTTTATTATAAATTACTTCAAATTCTACATTCGATCCTTTTAAATTGACTAATTAATTTAAAGTTTAAGTATTGTATGATCATTCAAATTTGTATTTTGATTTATATATATTTAATAAATAAGTAGTTTAATAATGTTATTAATAATTTACGATATAATTTATATCAATTAATAAGTAAATAATGTTATTATTTTTGCTTTTTATATATGTAAATTCATATTTAGATGCTAATAAAATTAAATACGCTGTTGATGCAGGCAATCAATATTATTATAAGGACAGATAAAAAATATTATATCGCTATGATCAAAATTATAAGGGTGGCTAACAAATAATGTTCTATTAAAAGGCAACCTCAGATTAAAGTCATCATTTGATACCTCTTTAATATTTAGATTATTATGTATTCTAAACATCTAGAACTGTATCTAGTGATCAAGATTTTTTCAAATATTCAATTACTATGAGATTGAATGGGAATTATACTTTAATTTTATGTTTCATTGAAGTATAAACTAATTTTATAATAATAATATATAGTCTGAATAACGATCAGCACGCTTTTTCGATATTTATTTAGAGGATGAATTAATAAAAGAGTAATTTGATATTTACAAGGAAGCAGGAGGAATAAATATTCCACTTTATTTTGCCTTTGAATTTGAATTTGATGGAAAAAACATTATAACTAATCGTAAGACTATATATCAAATGAATGATAATAAATTACACTTTGATGTTACATTTAAAGGTAAAGGAGCTTCTGTTAGTGCAATAATTTTGTATTAAGGTAAGATAGAAGATATCTTAATTGATCTAGAAAGTGCTTTACTTTCAAAAGATTAAATTGAAGCTACCTTTATTAATTAAATAGAATTCGTTAAAGCATTAAAACAAAAAGCAGCTCGTTATGCTCATAAATAAAAAGGGAAGGGAAATGAGAATATAAACACTTTAATGAATTAATATTTGAGTCCATTTTAAAAATTAATCAATAATTTTGATATTGGTAATAATGTGTATAATGAAATTTCTAATGGTTTAGATCCATCTCCATTAGAATTATTCTTAGATACTTTATTAAATGTATTATTCTTCTTATTAAATATTTAGAATATCTTGATGCCATTAGGAAATGTGTTAGTTCAAATTATTGATTTTATTTTGGATAATAAAATTCTCTCTACAATTTTAATGATTAATTTAATATTGTATTATTATTGTTTTGACAACAATAAAATTATGTTTGCTAATGTTCCTGTTGGTTTAGTAAGAAATTAATTTAAATTACCTAGGTTTTAGATCCAGAGATTGAAAGTGAAATGGAAATCAATTATAATACATAATCACCAAAATCACGACATGTAAATGTATTGAAATCAAAAAAAAAGAAGAAATGATTTATAAAATATTTTAATCAAATTACAATTTAATGAGAAATAACAGCTAGTAAAAAGAGAATACCTCATAATTAAAAGAAGTAATTAAATTAATTCTATTTTGAGACAATTCATAAATTACAATAGAGGGATGCTACATAAAGATTTGAAATAGCTAAATTAAAAAAATTATTAGTTGAAAGAAATTAGGAATATAAGTTAGCATTTGATTAATTATAAGAACTAAAAAGAATATAGTAAAGAGTAATTAAAATATATTATTATTGATAGGATAATCAATATATATTAAAAGTAGACAATTATGTTGCTAAATTAAAATAGAAATTGTAAAAAGCCAATATCAAAATTGATTCATTAGAATCAAAATTCTCCTCATCAAGAGTCAAATAAAATATTACAATTGATGATTCATTCAATGGCAATGACTCATTTCAAACAGATCATTTAACAATATCAACTAAACATCCAATTCTAAAATAAACTTCTAATCGATCAAATAAAGCTTATTCTGTTAATAAACCTAAATTAATATGTAAACCAATTAAAGTTTAATTACCATATCCAAACATTAGTTATACAGAAAATTAAGAAATATTAGAAAATAATTCTCTCAATAAATCTTATCCATTACAAGAATAAATTCTTAACAGAATACTAGATGATGAAGAATTTATAAATAATTTCAGTAATTAGTTTGATTAGATGCAGACAGATTTATTTTCATATTAAAAAATCCAGACTTAACCACTTAGTTTCTCATGCAATTCAAGATAAAGTAATTTCAGTTTTGTGAATAGTGAAAAAAAGTAAAATCGAAATGATAAATAATAAAAATAACCTAATCGATAATGTATTTAGATTATTTTTAATAATTTTTAGATCATTCAATATCAATTGAGGAGAAGGAAAATAATAGTAAATATTTTAATTGATAAAATTCATTTATGAAATATATAGACTAATTTTAAAACATATCTAAATATTTAATCATTTTTATATATTATTTTCTCTAATTGCAACATTATGAGTATTTTATAGTTGCCAATTATTAATGTTATTTTCATTAAATATATTAGTATAATTTTATTTTGGTGTTAATAATTGAGCATATGCTAAACTTGGAGTAAAGCTATTATTTCTTGTTGTCATTGAAGTTGATTAATTTATAGCTCCAATAAGATTTAAGTTTAAAGAAGGAATAGTCTTCTTTACCCTTTCAGTTTTAGGAGCTATATCTTTTTTGTTGGATATTAATTTTTTCATATCCAATATTTATACTTATTTCTAATTTTATGAGGAATTGTTGTTTTTTTATTAACGTTAATTTTAATCTTAAGATCTTTTTGAATTTGTTTTATTCTGCAATTTATTAAAATTTAATTATCTAAAAGAATCTGGAATTTTTAGTATTTAATACAAAGCCTTTTAATCCAAAGATAAAATTTAATGATTAGTATTTTGGTTTTAGGAAGGTGTTTATTTTGATTCATGATTTGATAGATTATTACTTTTGATATTCTTCATTTCTTAGAGACTTTTTATTATTTTTAATTCAAGTTATTTGATTTCTTAAATAGCTTTATTTTGATCACTTTTTTTTGGTGAATTGCTTTTTTTATTCTTTTCTTCTAATTTGAATTTTTTACTATTAGTGTAAAATATATTAATTACATGAATTATTCTTTAGCTTATTTAAAATCCATTATTTTGTCTCTTGAAATGGTTTATGAGTTTTTATTTTAAAGTTTAGCTTAGACTATATATGGTTTCATAGAATACTTTAATCAATTAATTTATTGGAATAGGATTATTGATATCTAGCTGATAAAGGCATTTTTGCTTCTTAAGGGTTTTAATGAGTTCTAGCAGACAAAGACAAAGCAAGTTCATCTAATTTTAACGATTTCTTGCTTTAAATCTTCTTCTTTTTAAACCATTAGTATTATTATTTCTAATTTGGAGAATCTGATTTAAGATTTAGTAAACTTATCATTTATTATATTTCTCCAATAGGTGGAGATTCAGGAACTTATAAAATACGACTAATTTCTTGGGAGGGTTGAGGTTTCTTATTAGAGAAACTGATTTCTTTAAGAATGTTATCAACATTAACTTTAGATTATGGTTCAGAATTCTCAGATTAAGGTGTAGAATCACTTAATAAAGGTTTATCACCTACAATTCCTTTAGGTGGATCAGTTGGATTCATTTAATTTTCAATTTCAATTTATCTTTAAATTTTGTAAAATTCAATTTTTCTTCTTTTATCATAATAATAATTGAGAATTTTGAGTATGGGTTATTTTAAGACCCATCTAGGCAAATCCTTATGAAATTTGTAAAATTCTGTAAGTAATTTTGATTTGGAAGGATATTCATGCATTTCATAAAATCTTTTAATATATTCATCTTCTTCATCATAACATATATAATCCTTGTGATATATTTGAATGTTTTACATAATACAGAATAGTTCTGGCAGTAGAAGTTTTGGATAATATTTCATTAATGTCTTTGGTATAATAATAATTTTATGATGTTGCGTATTTATGATAGAGAGTATGTCTAATCATTTTATGTAAATTGATTTCACAAGGGAAATAGTTTTTGATATATCCTAGAGTTGTTCTTTTGTAGCAAAATTAACAAGAATAATTAGACATTTTAAAATTAAATATAAATAAATATAAAATATTATTAAAACAATGTAAACAGTATGGACCTTAATACATCCAACAAGGATAAGTGTATAGAAGACAATAAAGAATTTATTACCATCTGGTTAAGAATTTTTTGGTACTGTAATAAGAGATAGTAGAAATAAATCATGCAAAGTATATTGATCTAATTGAAATGATTAGGTAAAAGTAAGCTATAAATATTGGCATAAAAAATATAAGTCTTACTTTGGAAATTCTTCTGAATTCATAGCACATGATGAAGATAATTTTTGTAAGGTAGGCGATAAAGTAGTAATCAAACATTGTTAAAAAACAGGTGGAAAATATTACTATGTAAGAAATGTAGTAATTCCAGTGGGTAGGAATCCATCAGATGTGTAAGATGATGTAATGAAAGAGCTCTAGTATTATTTATTGCATATAATTAAATTAGAAATATAAGAACACAATTGGTTCAATAAAGTTTGTGATATATTATTCATACATAAAATATTATAAATAATTACAAAATATTTTTAAATAAAATCCTCAATTTTCTAGAATTTAGAGATTTTTTCATCTTAAATAAAATCATATCATTCTATTTAAGAAACAAGATATGATTGGAGGATAGAATCAATATACCTTTTAAAATCAAAGTATAATTTAATCCAATGATTCTAAATGAAATAATAATTTCAGATAGAAAAGACTATAAGATTATATTCACTTATATTAGAATTATTATTATAAAAATAGACTTTTATATTCATTGATAATAATAATATTTTCTATAATTTCTTAGTTTCTATATATATCTAAATTTAAATTAAATACAAATATGTTATACTTATTAAATTAAATAGTTATTTAATTTAATAGATTTTCAATAAAAAATGTGTTTAATAAAGGGTTGTATAAATGAAATGAAATATATATATTAACCTTTTTATAAATTAATTTAGTTTAATAATTTTGATCTAAAATAAATAGTAATTTAGGCAGAAATAAGACAGGAAATTATAAATTAAATTACCCGGCAAATCTGGAGTTTTTAATATTTCCCTCTATAATTTATTTAAATAATTAAAAAGATTAGATGTTTGAAGCCAAGTTTGAAGATGGTGTCTTATTTAAAAAGATTGTTGAAGCAATTAAGGAATTGGTAAAGAATGTAAATCTAGAAGCAAATGGAACAGGAATCTCATTATAAGTAAAATTATGATTTATATATTTTAAGGCTATGGATACATCTCATGTTGCTTTAGTTGCATTATAATTAAATGAGAAAGGATTCAAAAAATATAGATGTGAAAAATCTTTAACTATGGGTTTGAGTATTGAGAATTTATAAAAAATTTTGAAGTGTTCAGGAAATGATGATTAGATTACTCTTAGAACTCAAGAAGAAGAACCTACAACATTATCATTCACTTTCGAATCAAAAAGTATGTTTTTAATAAAAATGAAATTAGACCGAATTAGTGAGTTCCAATTGAATTTAATGTCTTTAGATTAAGAACAATTAGGTGTTCCAGATACTGATTATTCTTCAGTAATAAAAATGCCATCAAATGAATTCACAAAAATATGCAGAGAATTAGGAAATATTAATGAAGCTATTGGTATTGAAACATCTAAAGATGGAATAAAATTTTATGTTAAAGGAGATATAGGTGAAGGATAAGTTTCAGTGAAATCTAATGATTGTGAAAAGAAAGAAGAGAGAGTTGAATGTGATGTAGATGAACCTGTAAATTTAAGTTTTGCTGTTAGGTATATAATATATAATAATTAGTATAGATATTTCAATTTATTTAATAAGGCATCTGCATTATCACCTTAAGTTATTTTATCTATGTCTCAAGATTAACCATTAGTAATTGAATATTAAATTGAAAATATGGGATCATTAAAATTGTATTTAGCTCCAAAAATAAATGATGATGAATAATAATGAATAATGGTTTTTTAAAACATATTTAATTTTATATAATATTTTCTTTTTATGTAATAATAATAAAAACAACCAATTCAAGAAAGACGTAGAAGAAGTGGAGCTTTGCATGCTTAAACCTGTGAAGAATATTTAAAAGTACTAACAACCATAAAATATAATACAGAAATATGATTAAATTGGTCAAATTAAAATAAGAGAAAGCTAAAGAAAAAAAAGTTTGTCAGAATCAGCATTTCTCAATTTTGATTTCATACCAGATGATGAAGGAGTTGAAAATATTACTTAATTGAAAATTTTCATATACTCTCCAAAGTTAAAACTCAATGAATAAGAATTCTTGCAAATATTGAAAAGAGTTAGAAATCGTTCAATCACATTAGACAACATTTCCAATAAATCATTTACTTTTGACTTTGATTTCTTCTATAAAGAATATGAAGTTAATGAAACTCAATTTGGATTGCATTTTTGGATATAAAACAACATTAAACACCAACACTCATCATTCTTTTAGTGTAATTAAATTTTATTTACAATTATTTTAGAATGTTATTATAAAGTATTTAATGCAGCTATTCTATTATAAAGAGATACAGCTATTGAATAATAGATTAGAGATGCCAATCCTAATTGCATTATTAAGATATTCCCATTAGTAAGGAAATATAATATTTTAGATGGATGAGTTACTGATTGAATCATTGCAATCTATAATTGCTGAAGTAAAATATATAAAAAATATGAAAGATATGCCATAATCACATTAAATCTTGATCTATATATAACTTATATAACATCCAATTTATTTATATATTATCTTTCCATTATCTACACATCCTTTAAATAATCTCTACTTCCTTAATTCCTAATCTTCTCTAATAATCATTTATTTATCTAATCATAAATTCATTCAAAATAAATAAAACCAATTTTAAATCCTTCTTTTATTCAACTTTTTCTAAAAATTCATTAGCTAATCCTAATGAATGAATTATTTTAAATAAGAATGATAAAATTATCTTATTCTTATCTCCATAATATTCTTTAAAATAATAATCAATAAATTAGAATTTTTATACAGCTGTCTATATAATGAATGGTGATCTATAAGTTCCAATTCCTATAAAATATGTAATAACATTTATGGCTCTAATTTTTTTTATTTTATCATCCACATTTAGTTTATTTAATTATTCTAATTCTTTTTTAAGGATTTCCCCTAAAAATCTTTCATGTGTCAATCTATATGGGATATTTAGAAATTAATTTAAATATTCTCCTTCTCCTTTATATTATTCATAATGAGTCTTAACATGTTTATAATTGAATAAGAATTTGTATGGGAATAATTTTATTGAATAATAACCCATATTTTATAACCATTTCTTATTAAATATTTCCTAAGCCATATTTTTTTATTAAATTTTAGTATTAATACTTAATCAAAACTTCATTACTTATATTCAAAACTTTTTATTTACTAACACATTCATTTTTCATTTTACTATTATCAATATTCTTATTTTAATAGATAATCTCAAAGTATTCAAAATATTATTGATATTTATAATTTTAATGAATAAAGACTCACGCTATGCATATGTAACAATTAAAATTTCCTAATGAAGACGAAATCCTCAATGTCACCAAATAAGAATTTAAGACAATCTGAATAGAGTGCTCAAACTTATTCCACTGGTTTTACAAAAAAAAACACTTTCAAGGCCACCTAATAAAATTAAACAGCTCTTATAAGTTAACTTCCAGAGATTTAAAAAAAAAGGAATAAAAATGAGGCATTTGTGCATTCATAAGAATTTTAAGAAATTATTTAAATTGAATAAGATGAAAGGTATAAATTTATAAACATAGAAAGATATCGATATTTAATAAAAAATGGCACAATTAAGAAAATTGAAAATGGAGGCAATATAATATTTTCTGAATTGTAATAAATACCAGGGATATGGGTATGTTATAGAAGACCATAAGAGAGATAAGCAAATGCAGAAAAATTAAGTTTAGATTGGCTTGATTTATCACATATGCCATTATTGGAAGGTGAAGAAAAATTGAAAATATTAACATTTCAACATAATCGAATTGGTACAATTTAAAATTTAGTTTCTTTACCTAATTTATTGTATTTAGATTTATATGATAATTAAATTAAGGAGATAGAAGAATTAAAATAAGTGTAAAAATTAAAAGTTTTGTTATTACCAAAAAATTAAATACGAAAAATTCAAAATTTAGATTATTTATAAAAATTAGAAGTGTTGGATTTACACAGTAATAAGATAACAAATTTGGAAGGTTTAAATAAATTGAAAAACTTAAAAGTATTGAATCTAGGAAACAATTTAATCTAAAAACTTGAAGGTTTAGAAGAGTTAACTTCACTAAATGAATTAAATTTGAAAATAAATTAGATTGAATTTATAGATCATATCTAAGGTAATTAATAAAATAATATAATTGTTAGTACTTCCATAATTATAAAAATTATTTTTATCTTAAAATAAAATAAATTAATATCCATTTATTTTAGATTTATTGGAATTATCATTAGAAAATAATCCAATAACATAAAATAAATCTGAATATTATAAATATATTTGTTCAAATTATGAAAAATTACGAATATTGGATGGAAAATCAGTAGAATTAATTAAATAAGATATTTAATATTTAGAAATTCCTAAAAGTGAACCAATAAAAAAAAAGAATTTGAATTAAATGGTTTAATAATAATAATAAAAGAAACCATAAAAATTATATTAATTTGGATTAGAGATTTAAGGTGTAGGTCAAGATTCTAAATTAAAGGATGATATAAATCCAATATAATTATCAAAAAAAGATGTAAACAGTTCAAAAAATTAAACAAAAGATGTTTAATTAAGTCATAAAAATTCTATGTCATCAAATGGAATTGAAGATGAAATAATATCTTTGATAAAAAAGTAATGGATTCAAGAAAGTAAAAGGATTTAAGAATTAGAATAATAAAATTAATTAAATTCTAAAAGTTGTTTAGAACATTAAATTTTAGAAGGAGGACATGCTGAAGTAGAGGATGTATAATTTAATATAATTTTAGGATACATTTTTATTAATTTATGGAACAGCAGCAGGAATGGTACTGCCAACTTAAAATTTTAATCAAATAATTGAAAAAATTCATTTTCAATATATGTTTTTTGATTCGCTTATTGACTCATAATTATAAGTAATAAAAGAATATACAAAATTAAAAGAGATAATTTTAAAAGATAATTATATAAATAGTCTTCTTTAATTAGCAAAATTAGAAGTATTATAATTAATTTAATTTTAGCATTTAATAGATTTATAGAAAATAACAATTTAGAATAATCAAATTAATAATTGTTCTTTTATGTTTTCGTTTCTTGTATATAGAATTCCTACATTAATACAAATTAATAATAAGGATGTAAGAAATGAGGATCGATAAAAAGTATTGTTTATTGGCATTTAACAAAGGCAAAATTACTTTTCTCGAATTTCGATAAAGCATTAATCATGCATGAAAAAGGATAGAATAGTGATAATTTTAGATAATTGAAAAGCTATCAAAAAAATAGACAATATATTAAAACATATCAGAAAGCATTAAATGAAGTTGTATTTTAATAAAAAATAGTTATCAATTAAAAGAAATTAGTAATAATTTTAATTTATTTAGTTTGATAATATGTTTGAAAATTACCTAAATTAAATAATCGAAGTATGCAACAATAAGGAAAAATGATATCATTTTTTATTTAATACTTATAGTTAATGAAATACTTTTATTAAACTCTTTAAATTCTATAGATATTTTACTTATCAAATTGAAAGAATTTATAATAATAAATATATTAAGTCATGATATTAATATTATTTATATAATATTATGATTAATTATTATTGTCTATGAAAAATTAGGCTGTTCAGACTATCGAAACAGGTGCTATCTTTACTTTTTAACCTTTAGAAGTTATTTAACCAAAACGATCAATAATACCTAAAGATCTTGTTAAGAAGAAGACAAAAGTATAGAAATCTTCTTTAACTGATGATCCTCTTCCATATTTAAAACCACTAAAATAAAATAATTAAATCAAATTGAGACAATTAATGTTACCAAATATTAAAATTTAAGAAAAGCCTTAGATTTCTAAACGAAGTGAACGATATTTATCAATATAACAGAATTCTTAATAAATTTCTAGTTGTGTAACTAAATTAAGAAGATACTCTCATTATGATTTCATTTGCAGAACTGATAGAACACTCTCAATATAACCAACATAAAGTTTAATAACTAGCAGAGCATACATTAAATAAATTTGATAATTATATCAAAATTATAATTTATTACTAATTTTGTTCAGCGCTTTCTTTTGAGTTTAGGTGTCTTACTTATTGAATATTTTATTTTTGGATTTTCATCTTCAATAAGATGTTCTGCCTATTGATTTTGAGTACAATTTGTTAGATCTCTAAGTAAATGATTATTTTACTCTTAATTAGTTTTATCTTCTAAGAATTAATAATAAATAATAATGTTACCTATATATTCTATTTAAATTTCTTAAGTTGAACCCATAATTTCCCATTCTCCATAGAGATAATCATCTTTGTGGAAATATGAGTCTTTTTATTATAAGTATAATAATTTATAACAGCCTTCATATACATATAAGTTTAAATTTAAATAAAATTGTTAACTACTATCATCTTAATTGTTTAAAGGGATTCTAGCATATTAAATCACATTAAATTACTAAAACTATTGATTTAATTTTGTTAATGTATAATGTAGATCTTCTTTGAAATCTTTGAGATCTTGTAAATAAAGACAATCCTTTTTTCTATTCAACTTGAATCCTTCTAAAATTACATTTAAATCCATTGTTAAAGAAATAACCTTATCCTAATTCATTGAATGCAAGATGATTTATTCTATATAGAGATTACTATTCGGTATATCCAATCCTTATTCAATATTTGTACAATTGCAACGAAAAAAATTCATTATTAAAAATGTATAATAATATAATCTTCCTCAACGAATTAAAATATAGATTATTAATTGATGAATTATTTTTATTTATTACTCTAAATAGTGAGCACAAATTGATAATTAAAAAGGATATTAAAAATGATATTCAATTCACTAATGTAGTAACAGAATATCAATAATAAAAATAAACTTATTAGAAGCTAAAATTAGAAACTTAAATCTCATTATTAATAAATTATACACTTTTTAGAATAATCTTCAATGAATTTATAAGTTTTATTCATTATAAATTTTAAGCTGAACCATATAAATAAAGATAACATAAATGGATTGATAATATTATAAAATTTGATATTGATTTTTGAAAAATATAAAAAGAAAAAAATAAGAACAGATATTAACTATAATATAAACAACATATTGTTACTTAGATATTTCATAAAAAATTAATGCGATTAGATTAATTTATCTATTTTTATCGATTATATCAAATTGATTACAATAACATATTACTTTAAATTATAAATTAAACTAAGTTATTAATAAAGAGAAGTTAGCTTTAATTCAGTATTCAAGGAATAAATTGAAATCTTGTATTTAAGAAATAATTGGAATAGTACATATTTTTTCAATTTTTACAGAAAAAATAAAATCAAAATCATTATTAGTCATTTAGTTCATAATTACAAATCTTGAATATATCAATATACTCTGATTTCAACATATTCCTTAATTTCTTTACTGTCTGATATTATAGCTAATTATTTATTCCTTTAAAGCCAAATAGAATAAAAAAAATATTCCTATTTTAGAGAATCCAATTTTTGAGAAAATATAAATTTTCTAAGATAAATACAATTTGGAATTATGGCTAGACTTTTATATATATATAGTTTACTCATAAGAGTATTAGATTTGCTGAAATTTTAATATGATCAATTTTCTTAATTGGAAGATATATTTAAGACATAAAAAAGTATAATAATAAATAATGATTAATGTCAAGCTATATGGTATAGAATAAAAAATATGATTTTATAAAAGGTTAATTATAATTATCCATATTGATTAAGCATTAAAAAATATACAGGTGAAGTGATAAATTTGAAAGTACACTAACATTAATGAAATTACTTTCTTTACTAAGGAAGAATAACAATAAATGCATAATTAGTTTACAATATAATTAATTTATGAAATATATATGAACTTCTATTATTACACTACAATTGAGACAAGAGATAATGTAGAATATCTATTTGGATAGAAGTATAAAATAATATCATCTTTCGAAGAGATTAATTCTTAAGGTGGTTAGATAGAATTTATTCTTAAAATAATCCTTGACTTGAATATTTTAATAATCACGATGATTGTTTTTGTATGTTAACCTTGGGTTTGGAACGATTACTTTAGACCATAGCATGACTTATTTTAGTTCCTTCCAATTATGGATTAATTTTAGACATTCTGTCTTAGTTACTTTCGAGCATTAAATTAGAAGGAAGATTATAGGTTCCTAATAATCCATCATCAGCTTGGGTATCAATTCTAAATTGGCTTTTGCTTAATTCATCTATTTTCTTATCTTTAATACGATTTTAGAGACCATTACTCTCTTGATTTTTTTTTGTATTAATAGATTTCCATTCACTTGTGGCATCCCTTATTCCTACATCATTTTAATTATTTTATTTATTATTATTACTTATCTATTATTAGTTTCCTGAATTTTCTAATTCTTAAGCTATAGATTGTGAAACTGAAAGCTTTTAAGATATATTATTCTGTGAAGAAGCATCTTATTAGGTTATAACTATAAATTCTAATTTTTGATCAATGATTGGAACATTTAAAGAGCAACTTCTACAATTACCCATTTGATATTGATAATTATAATAACAAAAAAGATTATTAATATCAAAATAGATATGAATATTAAAAATTATTTTTATAATAAATTGTAATTTGATAATCAGTATGTCAATAGATATAAAAAAATGATTGATAATAAGGGAAATTATTAGTCTTGTATTAATTTCGTTGTACCTTTTTATAGTCATGAAATTTAATATATAAAGTTTTTTAAACAAATATATTTAATTTTTTTTAACAGATTATATGAATTTAGCAATTTCATCTAGTTCAGAAGAAGAATCCTCATATAATGCTAAAGAATAAGACAGAATATTAAAGAATTCAAACATTTTTAAATAGAAAGCCAACTCTCATTTGAATTGCTTGAAACATCCAAACAAAAAAGTATGAAACAATTACAATTATTATATATAGGCTAAATATTATGCTTAAGTCGATAAGAGAACATTATTTTGTTCTAAATGTGCTTTGAATTTAGCATTGAAGGGTCATAAAATTGAAGAGAGTGCTGGAACAGAGTTAGAATTCTAAAGACAAATGAGAATTAATTAATTTTAAGAATTGATGAAATAAACTTTATAAGCTTGCAATTTTAAAATAATAGACTTTAATAACTTGTAAATAAGTCAAAAGTAATTGCTTGAAGATTAAAAAGCAAATTGTATAAGATTTTTTGAATAAGTGATTGAAACAGCTCAATAATTAAAATAAACATATATTCAAAAATTTTAACATGATCATTCAATTTTAGAATAGAATATTTTGGATTGTTAATAAGCTGTTACAAATTATGAAAAACAATTATAATAATTTTAAATTGATATTGAAAAAAATCATTCAAATATAGTAAAAAAAATGGAAATGAAACCTTTTGAAGATATAATGCAAAGATATGAGAAAAGAGTAAAAAATATTTAACAATTATTATCAGAAATGAAATTAGATAATAGTGTAAAAATAAATTAATTTGAGCAATCTTAAATTTTAACATTTATGAATAAAATGTGTTACAATATATTATTGAATGATACATCACAATCAATAAAATCTAGAAGCAATTCAATTAATAATAATAATAATAATCCTTCAATTGATATGAAAGCATTTGATATTTTAGAAAATGATGATATCTATTAAAGTACATTCTCGAATACAATTAAAGATAACAATAGCTAAAATCCTCCATCTCCAATCTCTAAATTGCCAATTTATAAAAATAATGGATCTAATCCTATTTCTACAATATAAAATTCTAGAAGAGAAAGTAACTCAAACACTCCAGAAAGTTGGAATCATACTAATATACAAAATTGTGATCAATAATCATAGATTCCCTTATAAGCAAATAGTCATAATGTAAGTTTGATTGAATAACCAATATTAATCAATTAATAATAATAATAACATTGTGTTTAAGATAGAGTAAAATAAACAAATGATAATCCATAAATATCATCTAATGAACAATAGAAAAATTTAGAGATAACACCTTTAATTTATTAGAAGAGTTAATCCATCTTACCATAATCAATTAAAATTTACAATAGTTAAAGAAGTAATATTATTTAATATATGCTTAGATTAATATGATTCTAATAATAATAATAATAATAATAATAATAATATTAATAATAAATCTCAAGATTAAAAATAAAGAAAAAAACAGACATCTGTAGATTATTTTGAACAAAAACGATTTTATATTCTAAATCAAAATCAATAAAAACCATAATAATAATAATAAGAAGATTCATTGAAGGATAGAATATTTAAAGAATTAAGTGGACATTCCAGCGAATCCGTTTATAATTAAGTTTTAAAAATTAATAATACATAACAAAAAATTAAAAAGGGAAAAGAGAATACTCAAATTGATTGGACTGGTAGTTTAAAATATAAGTAAAATTTATTAATAAAAAAATGAGTAATTAAATTATCGATAAAATACTTTTTTTCCTTAAGAAAATTTCACTTTATAAATTATATATACGTTATTTTAGCAAAGAATAATAAATATGAAATATTTTTTCTTAATTTGGTTTGTTTATTTGACTCTTGGAAGTTCAATAGTAGGAAAATAAGCTTCAGGTAATCATAGTTAGTATTTCTTAGAATAGTTCTTCCCACTAATTATGGATTGGTTCAAAAAATAAGGATAGAAGATTGACTAAGCTTTGGCTTTCAGTGTATTAACCTAAATTATTTAATAAACTGAAGAAGAACTATAGTAAAACACTGAAAATTCAGAGTTTATCAAAGCATTTTAATAATAAGTATTCTGTTAGAGTAACATTATAAAGATATTGAAATATTGCAAAGAGAAAAAGGATTTTGAATATGATAGGATAGAAAATATAGAACAATTCATTGAAGATGAGCTTAAACACAACTCTAACTATTTCAAAATTATGATTAAAGACAAAGAAAAAATGATAGATTAAGATAATAAAGAATTAGAAAAAGTTAAAAAATCAATCAAAGATCACACTAAATTGAAAGATAAACTAAATGATATTCTGGAATTAATTTAAGAAATTGATATAAGTAAATTGAAATATTTATCTGATAGGTATTTAAATAGGAACAGCTGAAAAATTATATAAAACATTAGAAATTATTGAATCAAAAGCAGTTATTGGGTTATTTAAATAATAATCTGAAGAAATATAGCTTTATTTAACTCATGTTGATTAGCTATTCAAGAATAAAAATTTTGAATAAGACTAAGTAATTTTTGATATATTATGCAAGTTTGAAATAATTAATCTGATTTCAATGATAAAGAATATCTTGTTGGACATGAAATTTAATATATAATTGAAAATGTAAGATGATGATATAGCAACCTTTGAAACAATGAAATTTTTTGAAAATACAAAAATTACTCATTAAATAGCACTGGATTATTTTAAGGATGAATCAAATTAATTTTTAGGTATATATTCATGTTAATAATAGGTAATTTAATGAAAATATGGGAATAAACTTTTGATACTTAAAATGAAATATACAAAGATAACATATAATTTTGTTAGATTATTGAACAATTAACTTAAGAAACAAATAAAATTGAAGATTCTCTTAATTCTTCACCATAATTTAAAAAATACTCTTTAAAAAAGACAGAAATCTAATTCTTAAAGCATTAAAATTGATTTGATAGAGTTATTGACATAATTTTTCTATATATATATATATAAATAAAAAAATAAATTTCAATAATTTAATAAATAATCAACTATTTTATAAGTCTTCTTCTAATAATCTTTCTCTAGAGAATAACTAATTGCTTATTTTGTAGATCTCTTAGTAACTACAGATGAACTTTATTTTTATTAGGAAAATCTTTTATATAAATGAGATAACGCAGATGATAATGTTTAAGGTTGTTATCTTTACATAATTTTCTTTTATTAAACTTACTGCTATTATAATTATTAATTTGATTATTTTTGTTTTTATTAATTCATTGACTCATTTAATGGTGAAGGCAATTAAAAATGTTTTTTCTTAGATTGAATAGATTTGGAAGTCCTAATTTCAAAATTTTCATGTGAAGTATTAGCTTTTAATTTATTTTAAGAAGGTAATTCTTTTTAATATGATGATCTTACACGATATCTTTTGTTAGTAGATGGACTTTAACATTTATCTTGAAAACATTATAATGTATTATTATTAACATCAAGACTAGGTTTAGCTTTGAAATGTTGCTATTATTAATATTACAATGATTATAGTTAATGTGATTAATGATATTATTCAACATATTTGATAATTTCTTTGGTAGATTGTTATGTTTAAAATAGGCTTTCAAATTCTCTTGTTTATGGAATTTATTTGGGACTATTTGGTGTATTTATTTAAGGAATAGATTCTTTTTAAAGTGATCTTGAAGAAATAAGTCTAGAATTAAATCCTGATTTGATATCACTTATATTACAATCCAAAATACTTTAACGAGGAGGGGATTATAAGGAAAATTAATCCATTTCACTATCAATTAAATCTGCTAATTGTTGTTTTTTCTTAATAACTTCCTTTTTTTTTGGTGATTTATCTACTAATAATTAGAGTTTGGTTTAAATTTATGATAAATCCAATAGAACTTCTTATCTATCAAGATTAAAGGATGATGATGATTTTAATGAATTATCACATTCTAAAAATACTGCTTAATTTAAAGAGGAATCTCTTGGTATTGATGGTATACATGTATAATGACTGAATGGAGTAGATGTTTTACTTGAATAATAATCTTCTTAATTATTATCAAAATTAATGAATTGATTACAATTTTTATCATCAATTTTATCTTATTTGTTTGCTTTAACTGTATAATCCATAGTTTCTAATCTCCAAGGTTTCTTTTCTAAATATTTGCTAATACGTAATAAAATTAACTAATTGTCTGCTTTTTTTGAAATAAAATATTCCAATTTTTGTAATCTTCTACAATAAAACTATTCAATCTTTTTTATCATTTTACGGAAATATTTTTCTACTTCTAATATAGGACTATTTTGTTTTTCTTGATTTATTAATCTATAAAATAGTTATTGTATATTTTAAGCAAGACTTCGTTATGGTAAATCGTTAATTAATGATTCTAATTCGTAATAAAAATCATTCATTATTTAATATAATTAAATAAATACTTTTATTCAAACTCCTTTCATTTTTAATTTTATATATATATATATATTTAACTATTTGAGACTACTCTTATATATTCTGAATATTAAATCAAATAATTATCTTAAAAATTTACAAAAAAATTAATTATGCAAAAGGTATAACATTTATACTTATCAATTTAGAACGATTACGGTTTTGGTGGTGATGAAAAAGTCAAGAAAATCGATAATGAACATTATGATGAGGCTATTGAATTGAAAGATGAAGAAGATGAAGAAATTGTTAGTGGTGAAGAAGATGAAGATTAATGTATTGTTTATATATACTTATTTATTAGATTAAGCTGGAGCTAGAGGTGCTCAATAAGCTGCATAAAGTGCTGGCTTTTAAGATGGAAAAGTTCCCTTACCTGCAGGAGCTTATAATCCAAATGATTATTCAAATTTATAAGTAGGTGCAGAAGTCAAATAATTGTTTGAATACATTGCTAGGTATTTAAATTTCTATATATTTTAGATATAAAGCTCCTTAAATGGTTTTGGATGCAAAATTAAAACCATTCATACCTGATTATGTACCTGCCATAGGTGAAGTTGATGCATTTATTAAAATGCCAAGACCTGATGGTTAACCTGAGACACTTGGTTTAGTTACATTAGTAATAATCTATTTAAATATATTTTAGGATGAACCTGCTCTTAATTAATCTAAAAAAGCTAAATTAGATTTATTGATGAGAGAATATGTGAAGGTAGCCAATAGAGGTAAAAATACTACTATTCATGCTATTGAAAATGCAGATAAAAATCCAAAAGAAATTACTGCATGGATTAATGATGTGGCAGAAATACATAAAAAAAAGTAACCCCCATCAGTTTCTTATTCCAAAATTATGCCTGATATTGAAGAATTAATGTAAGTGTGGCCACAAGAGATTGAAGATCTATTTTAAAGTACTTAATTGCCAGGTGATAATATTGACATGGGTTTATAAGAATATTGCTAATTCTCATGCAATTTATTAGATATTCCTGTTCATTCAATTAATAACAATAGAAATATCATAGAGTCTTTACATGTCTTATTCACATTGTTTTCAGAATTCAAAACCAATTAACATTTTAGATAAAACAATGATGAAATTTAATGAATATTCAATAATATAACATTATTTTCATTTTCATTATTCTTCTCAGATTGATATATTTTTGAAATATTTATTATAATTATTAAATGCATACACTTATTATTTCTGTTGTATAATATTTAAAGAAAGGAAAGAAGAAGAAACTAAAACAAAACATGTAAAAATTTGTAAATTATGACAAAATTTTTGATAGTGATGAAGAAGTAGCCGATGAACATATTTCATAACCTAAAATTATGCCATCTTATATATATGAATTTAATTTTGAGAAACTATTTAATAATGGAATTTCTTTACCTTATTATAATTCAAACATCCCAATCACATTGGTTATTGGTGAAATTAATGTTGGAAAAACTCATTTAATCTAATAATTAATTGGAAGACCATTATAAATTATTCTAAAAAAGCATAATTCAATTTTATGTTATCAAGATTAAAAGTAATGTTTTTTAGAAGTTTCTATTGATTGGAATGATTTTGAGTCAGTCTTCATTTGTAATGTTCTATAAAAGATATCAAATCTAACAATTTTAATAAATGATTCAGTTAATAAAAAAGTATTATCCTAATTTGAACTTTGGAATAATGTAGTGATTGTACATAAATACCTCATTCAAGAATAAAAAGACTTTTTAATTGAATATAAAAAGTTGAAAGAACATAATACTTTAAATAATTTTTACTATTAAAAAGGGTAGATTCATTTATTTTATGAATAAAATGAAACTTATAAACAAATTTAGATTATAAATTTAAATAACAAAAATACATTAACTATTCTCGAAGCTATACAAAAAACATTAAATTAATCAACATATTTATTACCATTTAAGATTGATCTTGTGTATATCAATAAAATTATTTAATTAAAATAGTAACTATAAAATAAAGACATTGTAGTTTAATATATAAAAGATTATTATGAAAATAATGAGTAAATCTTAAAATTTAATTAAAATAAAGATTATACATTAATAACAATAACAAAACCTTATTTAAAAATATAAAATACTTCAGTTGAGATAGAGAATTCTCAATTACTCTTAAACATTATGATTAGAGATTTAAGATTTGCCTTTATCATCCCATTTTTATATAAAAGAAAATGTGGATTTGCTTAAGTTTAGATAAATATTTAATAAGATGATTTTATAATATTATCATTTAGTTGATATTCAAGTAATATTTATAAAACCAAAAATTTTTATAATAATTTTGTTTTGTTATTATTTATTTCTTAATAATAGATCAATATGTCTTTNTTTTCAGAATTCAAAACCAATTAACATTTTAGATAAAACAATGATGAAATTTAATGAATATTCAATAATATAACATTATTTTCATTTTCATTATTCTTCTCAGATTGATATATTTTTGAAATATTTATTATAATTATTAAATGCATACACTTATTATTTCTGTTGTATAATATTTAAAGAAAGGAAAGAAGAAGAAACTAAAACAAAACATGTAAAAATTTGTAAATTATGACAAAATTTTTGATAGTGATGAAGAAGTAGCCGATGAACATATTTCATAACCTAAAATTATGCCATCTTATATATATGAATTTAATTTTGAGAAACTATTTAATAATGGAATTTCTTTACCTTATTATAATTCAAACATCCCAATCACATTGGTTATTGGTGAAATTAATGTTGGAAAAACTCATTTAATCTAATAATTAATTGGAAGACCATTATAAATTATTCTAAAAAAGCATAATTCAATTTTATGTTATCAAGATTAAAAGTAATGTTTTTTAGAAGTTTCTATTGATTGGAATGATTTTGAGTCAGTCTTCATTTGTAATGTTCTATAAAAGATATCAAATCTAACAATTTTAATAAATGATTCAGTTAATAAAAAAGTATTATCCTAATTTGAACTTTGGAATAATGTAGTGATTGTACATAAATACCTCATTCAAGAATAAAAAGACTTTTTAATTGAATATAAAAAGTTGAAAGAACATAATACTTTAAATAATTTTTACTATTAAAAAGGGTAGATTCATTTATTTTATGAATAAAATGAAACTTATAAACAAATTTAGATTATAAATTTAAATAACAAAAATACATTAACTATTCTCGAAGCTATACAAAAAACATTAAATTAATCAACATATTTATTACCATTTAAGATTGATCTTGTGTATATCAATAAAATTATTTAATTAAAATAGTAACTATAAAATAAAGACATTGTAGTTTAATATATAAAAGATTATTATGAAAATAATGAGTAAATCTTAAAATTTAATTAAAATAAAGATTATACATTAATAACAATAACAAAACCTTATTTAAAAATATAAAATACTTCAGTTGAGATAGAGAATTCTCAATTACTCTTAAACATTATGATTAGAGATTTAAGATTTGCCTTTATCATCCCATTTTTATATAAAAGAAAATGTGGATTTGCTTAAGTTTAGATAAATATTTAATAAGATGATTTTATAATATTATCATTTAGTTGATATTCAAGTAATATTTATAAAACCAAAAATTTTTATAATAATTTTGTTTTGTTATTATTTATTTCTTAATAATAGATCAATATGTCTTTTTAACTCTTTCAGCATTTTTAGGAGAGTCATAAATTGTGGGGGGTCTACGCATTTCATGTTGGAAGTGATTATATTCAAATGTTCTATTTGATCTTCTTGTATATGCTAATTCCATAAGGAAATCAAACATATCATCCTAAAAAGTTTAATTAATATTTTAATACAGTGCAAGCATATGCAGCTTCATAAAACATTGCATAACAAGGATAAACCTTAGCTCTCTTAAGATAATCTGCTTCTGTTTTATCCATTTTGAAATGCTCAGCTTAATCGCAATCAAACCATTTCTAAAATCTTAGAGCACATAAAGTGAAATAATCTTATTGTGATTAATATGTTGGATATGGCACATAAACTTTTTGTTTTGGTGGTAATCCAACTTAGAAACAGTTTGTTCTACCAGTTGGAGTAGTACCTCTGAATGGGAATAGACAATCTTCAAGTGCCCCTATATAAAAATTAACATTTCAAGTTTTTACATCCTTCAAATAATATAGTGTAAACATCATCAGGTTCCATCAAAGAGTATTTATTTGCTGTAGTATCAAAATAAAAACACTAATTCTCAATTGAATAGTACCTTAGTATATAATCTAAACCAATCCTTTAATTACTCTTTTTCCCAGACTGCATCTGTTCTCAAGATAAAGTCTTTCTCATAATCTTTCCAATTAACTCCTTTAATATGTTATAAATATATGTATTTAACCTTTATTGGAGAAATCATAATTGGGTGGCATTTTATGGAAATCTTTTGGCAATGTTTCAAGGAGAGGTTGAGTGGCCATAAAATTTAATTAAAAATAAAAATGGATTTTAAGGATATATCAATATTAATATTTTGAATTACAAATACATACTATATATAGTTTGTATATGATTTACTCTTTAAATATAACATTAAATGATTATTAGATAATATCTAATTATATTAATATATGGATAAATAATAAATATAAAAATGCCTCTTTTGCCAATAGAAGACAAGTCTATGTAATTTAATTACTATGGTACTTCAAATATCAATTTTAGGCACTTTAATATAAATATGAACACAAAATAGAAATAACAATAGATGATTTTGTTGACAGCAGTAAAAAGAAAGAAATTGTATAATTTTATGAGAAAATCTTTGATCATGAGGAGGAATATTTAGAAAAGCAGTTTTAAAGAGTAGAATAAATAAGAAGATTAAAAACTCTTACTGAATATTATAAATATGAAATTCATACTCCAAGATTATATATGAGAAAATTGGAAAAAACAATTAGAGATTATTAAAAGCATAAAAAGTATAATATGAACATCATATTTTAGAAACTTTCACTATAATAAAATTAAATAAAAATTAGGGTTGAATCAAAAGGATTAGCAAACATTAAGAGTAAAAACAGAACCAGAGAAAAATAATAATATTGTAAATAATTTAGTATTGTTTGATTTAACATAAGAAGAACCATCAAAATCAGTTATTGAGTTATTAAATCTAATTAATAATTAAAGTAAAAAGAAAGTTTAATTTGCAAATCAAATTAAATAAACAGCATGTGTGACTCCTTCAATTTAAAATTCAGCAAGAAATAAAATACTCTAAAAATAATTAAAAGCAATATTATAAACAGATGTAATACCAAAATACTAGAATGCTCCTATTAGTAAAAGATCAGTAGTATCATTAAAAACTTCAACTTTAAAATCAAACACATTTCATTCAGCTAAATCACCCATGATATAAGTAAATAGAATTGCTATAAAAATGAAATCATCCCCTCTAATTTAATTACCAAAAAGCAATAGTTAAAGTAAAATATAAGTTAGTCCAAAATTAAAGAATCTAAAGCTTTTGCTATAACATAAATCATGAATTCATTCTTATATTTTTATGTTATTTGTATATATGACAGAATTTAAGATTTTGACAATTAAATAATAAAAATTTTTAATTTCAATGTTCGAGACAATAATGAAAGAATACAATCAAAATAAAAAAGGATTAGATAAATAGGATGGTATGGTTTGAATTATATCAGAAATTTTAAGAAGACAAATTGGAATGTTGGCTGAACCAATGACAAAAAAAGTCTTACATGGATTAAATGCAAATATTGCTATTCTGCATTAAAATGAGTAAATTATTGAGAAAGAGACAAAATAATTACTTAAAGAAACTGCATAATTGTAAAAGGAATCTTAATAATGGTAAATTCTTTACAATAATCTAAATGAAACATTAAAAGTAATTATATTAATTGTGATTAGTCTAGAAAGTAGGAGACATTGTAAATTTTGCACAAATTATAGAAAATGAGTTATAAGAATTATGTGAAAGTTGATTAATAAAAAATAAGTTAATATAAAATATATTCAAATGACTAATCCTTGGGTTGGTCGATTTCCATTTGAAATGAAAGTATAAAAATAGAAAAAAGAAGACTTGCATTCACCAAATAGAAGTGAAATAGATTTCTTCAATGTTCCATCGATATCAGCTTCTGTTGGTATCAAATAATTATAATAGTTTAAGTTATGCAACCAAAAACAGTATTTGAAGCTCTGAAATCTTTAATGTTTAGATAAAAGGAGAACTCTGTCTCTTATGATGAGTTCTATTCATTTTCTCGCAGATTATATATTTGTGAAGATCCTGTAAACTAATTTATACAATATTAAGGATTAAAGTTTAAGGGTATTCCGTTAAATAGCAGGACAATCAGAAATTATTTAATTAGAGGGTAATATACACAATTTTAAATTCAATAGATTTTTTTTTATTTCTCTCCAAAGATCTATTAAAATTGGATCTAACTAAAATGACTTAGTTTGAGCTAGTGATTCGAATAGCATTAGAATTATTCTAAAATATGTGTGATGATGATAATTAATTAGATTTGAAGAGAACTGTACATTTTATAAAAGAAGAACTCTGTGAAGACATAGATTTTGTAAATTATATAATTTATATAAGTTGGAAACAATAGACATGTTTGGTTTTGTATAAGATCTCTTTTCTGGTAATTTAGTTACAAAGATATCCTTATAGGATTTTTTTTAAAAGGTTGGTCCATAAATTAGGAAAGCTTTAAGTAGTATTATAATAAGAAAAATACAATAAATAGTTGGATTTAAGAAAATTTAATTTCACACAAGATAAACAAATTAATTTATTCAAAACAATTAAGTTAAATCTGATATTTAAAAATTATTGCAGTAGAATTTTAAAATCAATTTTGATGTTGAAATTGATGAATAACCAAAATAATTACAATCTTAAAAAGTGTAATAAGATCAAATTGTTAGTTTACTTTAATAAAGTAAACCAAAAATAAGAGGATGGTTATAGAGATTGTCAATAAAGAAAGCAAACAAATGGCAATTGTTATTCTTATAAATAGATTAAAGTACAAGATATTTAAGGGCAGTTAAACCTGAATCTATAAAAATTAATCATTCTGTTTAGAATACAGAATTTATTTGTTTATTAGAATTGGTTACTGTTCCTACAAAAGGAGTACATAGGAAAACTAATTCATTAAATTCAGGACATCAAGAAAGAGAACCTGAATTATAAAGACCAATACAAACAGAAAATGCTAGCAGTTAAATAAATCCTTTTAGTCATTCCTTTATATTGAAGGAATAAACATAAACAAAATTAACCTTAATAAAATCTTGGGATATAAGAGAAATAGAATAGATTTTTCATGAAGTGAAGACTTCAATTGATCCATCATAAAATTATTCAGGTATTGTTGAATTATGTCAATTAAATAATGAACCATTAGAAAAAATTAGATAAAAATTTAAGTAACTTGTTTTTAAAGAACATTTGATGGTATTAAATGAAGGAAAAATACATTTCTATACAGTTAGTTTAAAACATTGTATTGATTTAAGTAAAATGAGAATTTCAAATGATAAAGATTTGCCATTTATACCATCTCATCCATTTCCATTTTAAATAGTAATAGATGAAAAAGCTCAAGTTGTCGGATCTTATTTAAAAGTCTAAAAGTTTGAATAACCAAATAAATAAAATAAGAGTGGTATGTCATAAATTAATGAATTGGAAAATGAGAATAGTGATAAAGAAGATTAAAAAAAAGGATTTTTTGATTAAATATATGATAAATTTAAAAAAAAGCCTAATCAAAAGAAAAATGAAATTAGAATAGTATTTGGAGCTGAATCTGAACCTAAAAGAAGATAATGGATATTCTCTTTGAATTATTATAAATCTAATCAAACAGATTTGGAAGAGTTATTAAAACCATCATATAGATCATCCTTTTAAACACCTATAATGTCCTAAGGAAATTATACACCTTCTAGATCATTTATAAAATCTGCTTAACATACTTTACCATAATAACCTACTCAATAAAACTTTTTTATAGGAGGAAATCATACTCATATTAATGTTGGAATCTTTTTGAATGATGAAGATGATTATTATAACGTATTTTAACATTAGAATTAATTTTAAAGTAATAGTCAAGCTTAAAATTAAATGGTGAATCCAGATTTAGGATCAAAAAAATAATTGACTTAACCAAATAGGATACATTGTCATACAGATCCTAATGATTCACCTTAAAAAGAATGTAAAATAGTAATTAATTTTTAGAAAGGTTAATAACTCAACCTTCAAATGGGGCTCAAATAACTTCTAGATAGATTTATTCTACTTCATCAGTTGAATTATGGCAAAAGTTTATTTTAGCATTTTTTAGATTTTTAATAAAATCAAAAAATCATCAACCTGATGAAGTTCAAGAACCGAAAATTTAACAATTATATAACAGATAATTAAAGATATGTAAATAGAAATGATGAAGATTAAATATAATAATTTTTCCATTTTATTGTTTATTTGATTTATTAATTTGTTATTATTGAATAATGTATGAAACTTTCGGAGAAAAGGAAGAAAAAGAACTCCATGAAATGAGAAGGAGATTTGGTAAATTAAGATTTGAAACTGATCACAATATAGAAAAAAGCAAATTAATGAATACATATATTGAATAAACTAAATAAGATGCAAGAAGTGTACTTTTAAACCAAACTCCATAAAGTAAAATGAACTTGAATTTACAAATGAGTAGATTATAAACTAATACTTCTATTCTTGATACAAATTCTGCTAAAAGAAATATTTTATCAAAAAGAACAACCACAAATAATCGAAACTTTAGTGCAAGAACTTTAACAAATAGAATTACATCTTTACCTAACAATTACTTTTTCAATTTTCCAAAATGGATGGAAGAGAGATAGGATTTTCAAAAGTGGAAATAACATGAGTAAAACAATATTTTAATATTAGAGATTTTGATATTCATTTGAAAATTGTCTCAATCTGTAAAAGTGAATCATTTAGAAGGGATGACGGACAAAAAACTATTGTAGCACTTTATCTTTAAACCTTGAGTTTATTTAAATTAATGCCTTTAGAAATGTTAAAGGAATTAGGAGGACGTTTAACTTATATTGAATTGAAAACAGAAAATGATTTGACACTTTGTAGATATGGGGAAAAAGGAGAGTGCATGTTTATAATATTTAAAGGAAAAGTTGATGTCATAAGCTCTGATGTATCATCATTTAATATTTAAGGGTAAACTACTAAAGGTTTTTGGTAGTAATGAACATGTTGGAAGAAGTGCATTAGAAACTGATGCACCAAGAAATGCTACATTGACAACTACTTTTGAATCTCATATATTAAAGTTGTAACGATGGGACTTTTAATAATGTCTCAATAATTTGTTTAAAATTGAAAGACCAAAATGGAAGAAGTTTGTTGAAACAATACATTTTTTTGATAGTTTTCATCCACATAAAATAGAAAGAATGTGTGATGAATTAAAAGGAAGATTCATGTCAACTAAAGATTGCTTATATAAGGCTGGAGATTAAGTAGATAATTTTTATATTGTAAAAAATGGAACTTTAGTTAAGAATGTAGTTGTTGACTTGGAAGAATCTAATAGATGGCCTATTGGAGCTAAAGAATGGGAGAAGAAAACAATCACTACTTGTTAAAGAATACCTTTACAATATAAAGCATAATCTTTATTAGGATATTATGAAATAGTAACATTTGAATAACTTCAATTAAAAAAAAGAACTGAAACTATAGATGCAGCAGAAGATTCATTTGTCTTATTTATTCCAAAAACTCTATTCACAGAAATATTTGATGCTGATGATCAAAAGAAATTTAGAGATTTATACACTAAATTACATCCAACTAGCTTTGAATTGTTAATTTCCAAAGTAAAAAGTGAGGAATTGAAAAAAAAATAAGAATTCTAAATTATTAATAAAGCTATCACAGATGGCTTAATTTCTGTTCCTTAACATCTTTTAGAAAAAGTATCCAGATTTATCTTAATATTAGAAATTTTCAAAATATTCAAAAGTTTTTGATAATGCTAAAACTAAATTAAAATAATTCAAACAATCTAGAGAAATAATTAAAAGAGAGAAAAGAACCAAAAATATGATATCTATATATGAATGAATTTTGTATAATAAGATTTATAAATAATATCTAACTTAATCATAGTATTTTATAATAATTAGAATACTCTTCAACTAATTCTCTAAAAATAATATCCAATTCTATATCTGGAAAATCTGATAAAGGGGTAAAATTTAGATATTGATCTTTTGCAACAAATGCCATCTCCCTGTTATTGTTTTATGATTGTTTAGGGTATTTATAACATTGTAATGTAATTGCTGTTTATGGATAGAAATTTTTAAGTTAGTGAACCTAATTTAGTTTAGGTGAAACCCATGTCATATCATTCTTATTACATGTTAGATGTAATATAGGATTCATCAAATGTCTTGCATTTGATAAAATTGCATAAATTTTTACATCAATTACTCCTTATAAAACTTTAACTATTCCATACTATCCAGCGTGATCATGAATCGTTGAATAGTGTTTAAATGGCCAAATTTCTAACACATATTAATGTCCTGCAGAATATTTATTATAATGGCCTAATCCCAATCTTAGGTATGTCATAAAAGGATCTAACCCCTTTAATTTAGCATTTTCTTATTTCCTTTTCAGTATTTCGTTCAATTTGCATCCATTATGTGTAACACTATGATGAATTAAGTAACCTAATGATAATTTAGCCCCTTTTTATTCATAGTAAGGTGACTCTTTCTATTCAATCTCATGCAATTCAATTTTCTTTACTGATTAAAATAAGTTGTTTATCTCTGAAGCTAAATTTATGGGTTATGAACCATTATGCAAATCAATGATATTGTTACAATTTTTTGAAATAACAGGACTTAGTTTGTAAATAAAATAATCTTTACTATGAATTTGAACTGCTTCATTAAACGCAATGAAATTGAAGATTTTTTTGAAATTGATATTTTCACTATATGGAATAACATTAATTGCAATTTTAGTAATTGATTTTATTCGTACCATTAATTGATTTTATTCGTACCATTACTTGATTCATGGTACGAGTAATTATCTAAGTTTCAAATCTAGGTTCTCCGTATCCAATATTCAAAGAGCAGTTTGCTTTATTCAAATGTGCCCATATTCCTTGGGTATCCATTAACTGTCCTAATTAATTTGTAAACATCACAATTCTTTAATCATTGTGCATTTCTGTAATTGAACCAGAAGAAATTTTTAATTTTTTTCTACTATACTTAATTTCCAAACAAGTATCTTAATTCATATCTAGGTACTTTATAACAATTTTTTTCATCTATTAAAAATAATCTTAAAATTGTGATTCAATCTTTGAAGGATTGATTACAATAACTATAATTTTCTCATCTTGTTCAAATTTTATTTCGGTTCTACTCTCATTTGTTTCTAAGGTATAATTTGAGTCTTCTTACATCTACTTGAATCTATCTAAAATAAATAATAGAAAAATAATTATAACTTAAATCAAATACTATCATTAATAGAATATCACTGATTGAATATAATAAAATCCTAAACAATAATATATATATAATAAATATTTAAATGAAATTTTACTGCTACATGCTGTATTTATATTTAATAAGTATCAATTTGAAGACATTAGCTGATTTTTTGAAGAATTTATATGATTAATTTAGTTTTCCTATCAAAATGAAAAAAAAATAATCCAAATATATATGAATTATGATTATATTAAATAAACTCATTTATCAAAATTTTTAATCATGTTTCAGTTAATCAGTAATTATTGGATTACGTCTTCAGATATTGTATCATTAAAATGAATACTTAACAACAAAGCTGGTCTTCAATTAATAAAATACTTTTATTAAGAATTTGAATACTAATTTTTTATTATTATAAAGATATCAAAGATATAGTTTTCACCAAATGATGTAGACAAAGATTCTTTTTAGAAGAAGATATAATGGGGAGTAATTGTTCTAGAATCTAATTATTCACAATTATTTTCAGTAATAAAAATGATATCATTTTTACTTTTAATTATCATTATCTTATTTAGCAATTTTCAAAAATTATGGCTTTAATTTTTTAATTAATAATTTCTACCTTACTTTGTTTTCTTTATGATTTCTTAATAATTTTGAAATACTAATAAATTTCATTTTTAAATCTTGCTTATTTAGTTTTTATTATGATAATTTTGAATTGTAGATATATAATAGAATAATATTATCACTTAATAAAATAGAGGAGGTGAAATTAAAATTGTTAAAATAATGTAATCTCTGGAAGAAAATGAAATTTCACATTATAAATTGTATTTTAATCAGAAAGAATTAAATTGTATAATGAATCATATTAAATATCTATTTTCAAATATGATACTATAATAATACAGATTGATGTCAATTTAAATATCAAATTCGTATTATTATAGTAATAATAAACTATTAAACAGAGTTGCTAATGAAATAGCCTTATTTTAAGAAATATCTACTAATTATTTATATTATGCATAGGCTTGTTTATAATTATATTTATAAAATTATATCACAATAGTTAATAATTTAATCTCAGATATTTAATTCATTATCCCAGAGTTTTTGATTCCTTATTTTGCTAAAAATGAAAGTTGATTCTTTCCAAAGCAGAATCGATCTAATATAAACAAATATATATATATTAATTTTTATACTCATCATGTAAAATATAAGTACAAACATAGAGCAAAGAGGTGAATCCTAAAAAAAGTATCTAAAATTAAACATTAAAGGTTTATATTATTTTCATATTATTCTGAGTTTGAAAAATAATGATTAATGAATTATGATTAGTATCATAAAACACTTTTATAAGTAATAAGTAATAATTCGTAATTCTCGGCTCTGCATCATTTCTTAACAAGCTGAAACTAATTACTATGTTTAAGATTTAGAGTTTTTTATATAATTATGATGAATAATTTATATTTTTAATGGATCATTTTCATGTAGGATTTATATATTTTGGAAACTAAAAATTTTTAACTACATTAATACCTTGAAACCATTCAAACAAAGCTAGGAATTAGTGTAAACTTGTAATACTCCTGAAAAATAGTTTGGTCCTTTAATTTTTACAATAATACCAGGATCCATCAGAATCGATTTGATTTCATAAGGAATACTGGTTTGCTTCTTTGGATTATCACCTTAACATATTTAAAATACTGTTCCAGTGTAATTACATTCACTATAAAATTTGACACAAGGGACAATAACTTCTATAATAAAGTCTCTAAATCCCCAAGATTCTAAAAATGTTGAAATTTATACCATCCCAAGAACTTTAGTCAAAGTTATCTTTTAATGATATTGTTAAAGCAGTTCCTGTTGTTTAAAACTTAAACTTTAGAGGCTAGAATAAGTCTTCAAACTCACCATTTCTACAAATCTTAGTCCCTTGACGATCTGTGAAGATTGCATTTTTTAACAATAAATTATTTGCAGTAATCTCAACTCCTTCTGAATCCCAAGAGTCGAATTTCCAAATACTAATTGAAAACTCAAGTTATTTATTTGGTTGAAGATTAGTAAAAGTTTTGCTTACTTTTGTTTTTTCTCCATAAGGTCCCATATATAAATTTTTTGGTTGCGAGCTACATCTGTCAATTGTAGAGCTACTCATTCCTTCAATAGAAAATTCCCAATATCTACAATCAGCTGTATTGTCTGTAATACAATTTTAGTATAGTATCGATTTTAGAAAAACTATTCTTATAAAGGAGATTGTGAATGCCATTTAAATTATTCTAATTTTAAATCAAAATATGAAGTTTATTTTTCTAAAAACAAGAAGGTTGGTTTAATAAATTTTAAAATTATCCAACAATTATTGGACTTTTCCAAAAAAGATGAGGAAACAAATTATTGTTAATAAATGAATTAAATCTTAAAAAAAATGATAGTTTTCAAAAAAAAAATCCTGTTTAAAAGGTTGATCAATAGCAAAGTTAACCCAAGTATCCGAAGAAGCTCAGTTATGAAATAGAGCAATTTTTAATTGAAAAAAAAAATATCAAATATTGTGAAAATAAGATTGGATGTAAGTAGGGAAGTAAATACGATAATTCATCTCAATATTTTAAACATTCCTTCATTATTTAATTCAATTTACTGTTCCCTATTTTTGTTTTTATAACTTAATTGTCTTCTAGACGAAAAAAAAAATTTACAAATCTTTTCTAAATACTATCAGGCTCATAGTTTAAGATTGTTTTTTACAAAAATTATCAAAATGTTAAAGTATTCAAGAAATTGTAAATTTTGTAACTTTTCTCAGGAACTCTCAGTTGATTGATAATAATAATTAATAATATTAGAAAATCAATTTAAAAAATATCCTGCCACATTAATAGTTTATTTAATACTTATTCAAAGTTTATTAAAAAAAATTTCAAGTTAATTCGAAAATCTATTTCTCTCAAAAATAATAAAAATATGAATTGAAATTCAAAATATTGGTTATTAAAATAATAATATCATGTAAATCTTCCAGACAAGAAGGGAATCTAGCAATTAGATTTTTTAATTTGGATAACAAGAATACTTTTATAGGGCATTTATTTGAGAAATTAGACTAAGTTAAGCTATACCAAGAGATTATTTAAATAAAATGATGACCATTAAGGTATTTAGAATGTAAATCAAATTTGAAGTTAGGGTAAGTTTATTAATCACCAAAACTCCAGATTAGCTTCTTGAAGATGTTAAAACATATTAATATTGTCAACCGTTGGGAAATACGATTTTTTTAAATCTTCAAAATAAAATTAGAATGATTAATTCTTTATAAGAACTAATCCTATTTATGTGCTTTTGAAAAAATTAATCCTGTAAGCTAATAATTAGAAGACTTAAGTAATTATATTGATTATAGAGAGTCAAAAATATCATAAAAGTGTGAATAATAATTATTGAATTGTTTATTAATACATTAATTTTTTTTTTAAATATTTCTAGACTTTAGTAATAATATTAAGGTTTCAAGACAATTTAAATTTCAAAACTACTTTGCGGATATAAATTAATTTAGCTCTATTGTTCAAAATATAATTTTAATCCAAACCTTCATAAAATGAATATAAATTTAATTAAATTTATAAAGTGTAGAACTACAACAATGAAATTTCTTTTATGATAACTATAAATTAAATTATTCTTTATTTAAAATATTTTAATATATTATTATTTCTATTTTAAATTTAGTTCTATATTTCAATATTAAATATTTCCTCTTTATTCTAAATTTTGTAATAACATAGTGTTGATCCTTTAACGATTTATTTTTTAACTAATAGTTATTTGAATAAATTTATTTTATTATTTAGTTTACTAAAATAATCGTTCTTGTATATCAAATCATTATATCTAAAGTGTGTATTTTGAAATGTTAAATTTATATATTTTAATAGGAATTTATTAATATATCTATATGTATAATTTTTTGAAGTCTTCAAATTTTAACTTTAATATTTTCATACTTAATATTTCACTTTTTATTATTAAATTAATATAAGTTGTTATTTTTACTTTAATTTGTTTATTTTGCAAACTTTCTCTTATATATATTATATTAATTTATAATACTTGATTGTGTTTTTATATCAATTTACAATTTTATTGATAGAAGAGATATTTCTATCTTTTCTATAAAAAACAATTTATTTAAATTCTTTAATATTTATTTGATGATAATTTTTATTTAGAATAAGAAGAAAATGAATACAATACTAAATTATTTATTCACAATAGGAAATTATGAGCAATATTAAAGAGGACAACTTACAAACACATTTTAGAAAAGTATTTTTCTATTGGTAAAGTCTAGTTAATAAGACACCTAAAAGGAAGTATCAAAAATAGAAAAATAATAAATACATCTTAAATAAGCTAGAAAAATTTCATAGCCCTAAATTGCAAATTATTTTGAATTTTTTTCATTTATCGTTCCTTAAAACAACAAATAAATATATATATAATAATGTGTAATATGTTTCATATTGGAATGAGTTTTTACTTAGGATTGTATGTCCCGCATTCATCCTTGATTAATTTCTAAATTTCAGATCCACATTCTTCATCTGATCAGTTATAGATTTTTCCTTTATCTTAACCATCTTGCCGTGTATTTCATTAGTGTATTCTTTAACTTTTTCAATTTTATTTTCTTATATACTTTTTCTAGGTGCTCGCAAAGATGGTTGCATTTTCTCCATTAGTGTTTCCATATTTCGAAATATGCGTAGCCAGTAATTCTCCTAATTTGTAAATAGCTGGTTCTTCGCATAATTTCTTTAAGAACTTCTTCTTCANATTTTTTTTTTAAATATTTCTAGACTTTAGTAATAATATTAAGGTTTCAAGACAATTTAAATTTCAAAACTACTTTGCGGATATAAATTAATTTAGCTCTATTGTTCAAAATATAATTTTAATCCAAACCTTCATAAAATGAATATAAATTTAATTAAATTTATAAAGTGTAGAACTACAACAATGAAATTTCTTTTATGATAACTATAAATTAAATTATTCTTTATTTAAAATATTTTAATATATGTAAAAAAACACCTTATCATAGCTATAAGAAACTTTTTCGAGTGGATTTCCCAAAAATAATGGAATGAAGATTAATTAGATGAATTACATAATTAATAACATATACTAAATTAACCAGAAGGACTAGAATAAATAGGAGAATCGAAATATCAACCTGAAATTCTTGTAGATCCACCTAAACTTCCATCTGAAGATTCACCTGTATCCACATAAAGATTCCTTTAAAATACCAAAAACACCAGAAATACCAGGAATACAAAAAATGCCAGAAATACCAGAACAGCCAGAAACACTTGAATTCTCATAGTAAGATAAAGAGATTAACGAACCTTCTCACTTATGGATGGAAAGTTTATCAGAAATCAAAAAGCAAATACTATAGCCTATTTACAGTTTGAAAAATGATATTTACCAACATTCCAGATTATACTAAAATGATAATACACAAAAAAGTGAGGAAAAAATTATTATAGAGAGCCTGATGATATATGTTAAAATAATCATGAATAAATGCGATAATCAAGGCTTATAAATATTCGATCTCAAAATAGAGTAGAGAAATATTATTAGAAAAGCCAATAATCTACTAATTATGAATAAGTTTAAGAATGTATTCTTTAAACCAGCCATCCACCTGCCTCATACGCTCTATCGTAATAATCATATGATACCTCTGCTCCTAGTAAAAAATCATATAATTTTTAACCTCGCATTCCGTGTTTAAATTAAACCTAAATAAATCTCAAGTTAGAAGAAGAAAAGCTCAATTTATAAACTAAAATTAAGGAGCATCTAACAGAATAAGGAAAAATTTTTTTTTAAAACATTTCATAAATATCTTAACAGGATTACGATTAATTTGGAAATGATAGATAGATATTGCTAAGATGATATAAGTCTTAAATTAACAAAGTATGATTTTTATTAATACCTTTTGGAGAATTATATTTCAAACTGAATGAAAAATTGTCGACAATTCAGCATCAAAGGTTTAATCATAATTTCATAAGTGAAATTAATATGCTAGGTTATTAGCATACTATTTAAAGAAGTATTAATTAACAGCAATTGAAACATAGAAAGTATGTAATTAATAAAGGGTATTTAGGGATAAAAAATCAAATAACATTCTGATGATCCTATATATCATGAATTGTTTAATTACAATTCAGAAGGAATAGCCATAATTATAAAATGTCTTCCTTTGAAACTAACTGGTACTATTTTAAGTTTCCAGCATAATTCGATATAAGAATTTATATATGCAAAATTTATCATAACTAATCTTCTTGCAATAAGTTCTATCATTAATTAATACAAATAATTGAAAGCAAATATTACCTTATAAAATTTTAAGATTAACATGAATAGTTAAAAGTTGAAGAAAAATTAATTCATTTTAATTTGTATTTAAATTTATTTATTTAATAATTTGGATTAATAATCTAATAAAGATACAGCAAGAGATATATTTATTGATTAATTTAATAGCGTTTTGGCATTAATATTAAGAGAGTTAAAAATTTATCAATCAACCAATGATTTATTGAGTTCAATTGATATTTCACCATTAAATAGTGTTATTATGGCAAATTAATTTTACATGAGGACAATAAGATTTATAAAAGAATATTTAGAAAATAATTAAGATTTAAAATGAGTATTACATTTTTTAATTTTAATTTCAAAAATATCATCGAAATTTATCAATATTAGTTCAAATTCGATTTAATTATTAACATATTTGTAGGAATTATTTTATGAAAAAAGTTTCTGTGAAATTTAGATAAAAGATGTTAAGTTATTAGGATTTAATTGTATTGGGTGTGATTTTACAAAGTCAAAATTAGAAAATGTTACTACGGAGGGGACTAACTTATATTTTTGTAAAATTGCAGAAGCAGAGTGGAAGGACATAATCTCCTAGAATTTACCAACATTTTCATTTAATATTGGTCCTATAATCAAAGCATTATTCTCTTTTGATGGTTAATACATAGCATCTCCTGGCCTTTAACAAAATTTAGTAATATATTAGATATTTACTGTATTGATTTTTAAAAAATATTCAACTTAAAAAAGTGTTGTTCTAACACAAAATCCACACTTGTCTATTTCTATAAGGAAACTTTGAACATTCTGAGCTTTTATGAGGATTAAAAATAAAATGATATAAATATTGTTTAAAGCAATGAAATTGAAGTAAATTAATAACACATCAAATTTAAATTTAAAATAAATGACTCTGTTGTTTTAATAAAATTTTCAAATTAAGATAGCTATTTATTAGTTGGATGCTAAAAAGGGAAAATATTCATCTATAAATTTTTGAATTAATAATTTACTTTATTTTCTAAAATACAAGGAAGGAGTAGAAAAATATTTGATTTTTATTCTGATGAAAATAGTTTGATAGCTTGTGACTAAAATTAAAACTATTAGAACATTTACATAAGATTATTAAGTAACAAGAATCGTTTTTAGCCCTGATGGAAAACTATTTGCATATGCTACAACAGATGGAGTGAGTAAAGTATATCGTTTAATGACATTAAAAGATAAGGCAAAATTAGTTGGTCACAAAAATGCTGTTAGATGTGTCTGTTTTCCTAGAGAGGGCAATATATTGGTGAGTGGAGGAGATGATAAAATGTTCGAATATGGAATTATATGTAAGGTATATAAATTGGTGAGAATTTACATGGCCACTTTGATGTGATTTATAGCATTGAATTTTCAAAACCAAATGGAACAATTATTTTATCAGCAGGAAAGGATGGACTTATAAAATAATGGAATCATTCTGATAATTATCATGTTAGTGAATATCTACCTGGTTATGAAGGCAGCATTCTATTTATGGTTCTATCTTAAGATTCTCAAAGAATAATAACAAAAGGTAAAGATAAGAAAATAATATAATGGAATATTGAAACAGCATCTGTTGTAAATTAAATGATATCTTTATAAAGTAGCCAAGAATTCTCAATTAATAAATTATATTCTTCTTGTTAATTAAGTCCTATCATTATTGTTAATGATGACCAACATATAATCACAGATGGATTCGGTCATTCAATTTCAATTTTTGACATTTACACTTGCAATTAAACTAATTTTTAAATCTCATATCTAAGACCTAAAGGGGAAGTTATTATTTTAGCATAATCCCAAAAGTAAAATTTGATATGTTCAAGAACTAAAAATGGTGAAATTAAAATATAGGATAGTTTTAATGGAAGATAATTTACACAAATAGAAATCTTAAGAAAATTTTAATAAAAGGGTAGCATGCTTAGCATTAACATTTGATAACTCATACTTGGCAATCGCAACCAAAGACTCAAATTACGATATTCTAAAAACTACAGATTTATCAGAGATATATCAATAATATTCTTATTAAGGAGTAATTATATGTAAATTAATTATTATAACTTCAATACTTCAATGTATTTTAATAAAAATGAATTAGATTAATATTATCTTTTGAAGATCTTCCCATAAAAGTTTGGAATATATCCAAAAAAATTCATGGATCGAAAAATTGTTGTCATTAAGCTAAAATTAATTGTCTATACTTTTCTAAAGATAATAAATTTATAGTTTCAACATCTTAAGATAAATAAATGAAGATTTGGAAGATGGAAAATATGGTTGTAGATAACTTTTTTGATGATATTAATTGATTGAAGCAAAACTTAAATCAACAAAAGAAATATATCCAAGAAACTTTTGAGAAGCTCGATTTTAGCAGTTTCAATCAGAATTGTATTTCACTTTTACATGAGACAAATAATATCAATGATATAGAATAGGTAAGATTACAATATGAAACAATTTTTGAATTTTATTAAATATAAACCTATTCCATTCTACTAAAGTAATTAAATTGAATTAATTTATGTAACATTAAATCTTATATTTTTAAATATATTAATAAACTTTAATTCTTAAATTTAAAAATTCCAAATTGTCTATTAGTGAATAATTATTTTCTAATACAAGGATATTTTCACATACATTTACATGTGGGCATGATTAATATCACTACTTTTCTACTATTAATATATTTAGGTCTTCAAATTTACCATAAATTCATTTTAGTGGGTTAATCTCATTTTTATAGATAAGAAAAATTTTGTTTTTGTTTAAGATTTAATATTGTGGATATGTATTGTTTACTTTTAATCTTCATTTTCTACAATTTTTTTACAAAAGATTTACTTTTTATTTATTATAAATTATGAATAATTTATTAATTTATTTATCAAATTGAATCAGAGGGACATTATTTTTGGATTAGATATTAGTTAATTTCATGAAAATCCTCTTGAAGTTAACAATGATTATACATAATCTCAGTGATTTATGAATGTTAATTATTTGAAGTTTGTAAAAATTCACGAAGTTCTTTAAGTTAATCAGTAATAAATAATCTTAGATGGTTGTTAGGGAAAATCTAGTAAGTATCTCCTCAACTCTTAATCCTTTTATGGGATATAATACTTCTTGATAATTAATATATCTTTTCAGTCTTTTATACTATCTTATACTTAGAATATCGAATAGTAATTATAAAAATCATTCAATTTCAATGTGTTAACTTTGTGATAGGTTAGATTATTGAGAAGATTAAATTTATTTTTAAATTTTGAAGTATCTTTTTTATTATCTTATTGATAAAATATATCTTTTACTATTTATGAACTAATATTACAAAATTATTAATTATGTTTTTAAGACTAATCCCGTTTATAAATTTTAATAAACAAAGTAAATCTATCATATTATACTCTAGATTTACTATAAAAGAATGTTGTGTTAATTAAATATTCTTTAATTAATTGTATAGATTTTTATTTTAATCTCTTTATTTTGCTTCTGTTCTTTGTTAAGATTATTAATTTAATGTAGTATCATTTAAATTTAAATTTCTATCAATTTTAATTGATAATAGCTTTTATGCTATTTAAAGAAAAAATCCCTATAAACGCCAAAAACTTTGAAAAATAAGAACTTACCTAGCTTTAGAAGTGAAAATTTATAAAGACAGAATTAAAATAAATATCAGATATTGATTGTAATTATAATTTTTGTTTGATTATGATCAAAATCACTTTTTCTATAAGTCTTCTAAAAAGCAACTTCCTTTAGATTTAAATAAAGGTTTTAAATTTTTTCCTTAATGGTTTATAAATTCTCCTTATAAGATAAGGGTACATGATGCTTCTAATAAAGGATTCTAACAAATTCTAAGTATGATACAATCTGGATTAACTAAATAATAATAAATAAAACAACTACTATTTGGTAATAATGAACTATTCATGAGTGGTAGTTTAAATTAAGCAAGAATATCTTTGTAGTTTTTATCAGAGGATTTAATTTCTTATCCTGTCTTAACATCCCATAGACGGATAGAGTAATCAGCACTACCAGAAGCTAATATATTTCCATCAGGAGAGAAACAGACTGACATCACAGCATATGAATGACCATCTAATTTGGCTTTTTATTATCCTGTTTTGACATCCCATTGATTTTTTAACTATTTTTTTTATAATAAGATAAATATATTATTAAAATTAATAAAAAACTTTCGATATTTAAAAGTTATTTTATAAAAATTTCATAAAAGTTTCTTTAAAATGTGAATAATCAAAATTTCATTCAACTTTTAATTTCTATTAACTTATTTTCTATAGACTTAATACTTGATTTAAAAAATATCAAGTAAAAAGTCTTATAATAATTAATTATTTTGAGCAAAAATATTTATACTTCAATCTTAAAACTTATTTCTCCAAAATTTCAAATTATAAATTCAATTAATTTTTAGATCTAAAAAGAAAAAAAACACATATAATAAAGCCTAATAAAAAATAATAAAAATGTCTTTTTTATGACAAAAATAATTGATAAACTTAAAAAATTATCAATGTAAAGCTAAAATTTGAACATTACCAAGCTATAGCAGTAGATCATCCATATTACGATGAGCACGAAGCGAGGGCAGTCTGATTTGGTAACTTTTCCATATATTTTTGTAACAATGGATATTTCAATTAATAAAAAATTCTAAATAAGAGAATGTTCATTAATATTTATATTTGTCCTCACAAAAATTGGTGTGATCTTCAAATTGTGCCTACACTTTTATAAGTTAGTAAACCTTTGAATCAATCTAGAATATTCTATTTTGATACTCTGAGTTTCTATAATGAATACAGGAAGTATGAGGATGAATCTAGTAAATTCAAGTTGCATTCTTTGAGTTACTACAGTACATCACCGAATCTTTAGGTATAAATCTTGAAAATTAAATTTTTACCTAAGTAACTAGGCCTTTCTTAGAATTTATTAAAATTGTGTATAAAGATCAGATAAATATTATATATATATTTGTTATTATTATATGTTAAATAATCAATAAAAATTTTATATCAATTATAAATTTTAGTTTTTAGATACAATTTTGAAATATAAATTCGTAACTCTAATGATGCACATCGTTAATTCTGTTTGAAATAGTTAGTTTCATAATCCTTAATAAGCATTTTCACATAAAAATTTCTATATCTAATTACCTTATAAAAATTATAATACTAAATCTAAATCATGATGAAGAAATATCATGTTGAGATGTATAATGAAATCTCTAATAGACATCATCAGCATCTAAAACTATAATTAGAGACATTTTGGTGATC